GATATGTGGACATCCTGGGCATGCGTTGTACAGCTGAATTCAGTGGCAATCTGGTCAGTCACAGGCTGCTCAGATTTCCAGTTGTTTACATCCCTTCTTTGTTACCAAGATGAGTTATAAATAGAATGGGGCCAAACTCATGTAGTCAACTTGTGGCTCCATTATAGATACCTTGGCATAATCTGTTTTTTACTGTCCTTTTTGAGAAGCAAATTACAATAAGCCCAACTCAAACCCATAGACTTAACATAGCTACTCTGTTACCCTGGTACAGTATATGCTGTTAAATGCTCACCTGCTGGAATGATGCTGATAGCATCCAACTTTTCCTAGTCTCTTAGTTCTATCAGTTATTGGAAAAACAGAAATGGAAGAAGCAGAAGCTCATGTCTCCTTTCTGTACCAACATGTCTTACTTGCAGGTGGACTCGTGGATGTTTTTTTTAACTTTTGTTATTCAGTTTTTTTAAAACTTCCTGGTTTGCAATGACAATTCTTACTGTAACTGGTAAAAGCCTTCAAATAAAGGCCAGAAACTTCCTTGCTATCGTATCATATCACTGTTTAATGTGACTGCTTGAGCACTCAGTCATCTTATAGCCTGGTGGAATGTCCTTCCACGGGAACACACTCAGGAGTGGGAGTTGGGAACATCCTGCCAAGGATAAGGCTGCAGTCTGCTGGTCAGAAGGGAAAGGTATATTTTGCAAGTTGGCGTGTAAACTCGAGGACTGAACTGTAGATCCCAGGCCAATATGGTGGTGCATAGCCTATGGCTCTATTCCTGGACTAGTTCAGGAAAGGGAATAATAACGTGGGATGTTACTACAGGGCTGCAACCAGCCTGGGTTACTGCCAGAGGAGAGGGAATGTGTCAGGGCTCCTGTGCTGTGTCAGGACAGCTGAGGAGTTCCTGCAGACAAAGCAAGGAGAGACAGAGCCTTTGCAGATCCCTAATCACTCTTGGTTAATTGGAGTGCGGAGTCACAGCGGATGGAGGTGAGTGCAGCACTGTCACTGGTGATGCTTGGAACGCAGGGAGTAAATCCAAAGCATGATCTGCAGGAAGAAGACCTGAATGAAGTCCTAAGTGACGTATGGAATGAGATGTTGTGTCTGTGGCTGTTTCTCCCAGAAATCCTGTTTGGAGAGTTCATGAGTTTGGAGTCTGTGGATGGAGAGGTGTTACACATGTGTCACCAGAGAACATGGAAGGTGTGTATGGGAGTAGGAATTGGAGGAAGTTACAGTGATAAAGGAAGTGGGTAAATGCAGAAGAACAAATTCATACCATGGAAGGGAACAGGGAAAGCTGGAAAGGTGTGTGTTATGGGAGAACAGCCTTAAGGAAAGGAAGGAAAAGTGCATTGTGGCTGAAGAGCAGTGATGGGTGCTCAAGTACCAGGCAGGACTGTGTGGTCAGGCAGCAGTGCTGCAGGAAAGGAGTTGGGTTTGACACAAAGTCCAGCCAAAGAAATAGAAAGTGAATGGGGTCTCTCTTTTGAATAACACTTGTTACAGTGAAGAATCAGGCTCTCTGGAAGAAAATGGTGGTTTTGGGATGCACAGACTTAAACTGCAAACTTTTTCTTCCAAGAAAATACTTGTTTTCCCTTTTTTTTTAACAGAGAAGGAACAAAGTTAAACTAAACTGAAACTATCTAAATACCAAAAAGGAAGTTTCCAGAAGGCAACTCCAGCTTTGAGGAGGCAAAGGCCACTTGCTGTAGAAATTACTCTTTTCTCTGTTTCAACACAGCTGGTTGGCTTTGTGAGCTGTGACCTTTAGATAATACAGTTACCATTGATATGTGTTATTCTAGGTATCAATATTTGTTTAAACTGTATAAATATTGAAACCATATGACAACATAAAATGATATTGAATATATATATAGCTGTTACTTACATTTGTATTAGTTATATATGTGTATGTATACATTTATACATAAAAATGCTTTAGTCTGACCTGTCAGAACTGTAGGACACACGAACTGGAGAAATTTTTAGTTTAAACTCCAACAGATGTTTTGCAGACATTTTCCTCTTGAAAATATTTCATAAAATGGTTGCCTGTCAATCTTCTCGTAGTGCTCATTGTCCTCAGGGCATGCACAAGGTTGAATGGACATTCAGGAGGCATTAAATCTCAGGAGCAACATGGATATAAATCTCAACATGTCCAAAGCTCTGCAGGTTGGTATTTATGGAGTGGTGAGCAGATGAGGTTAAAACGAGGGATGGTGGAGATGGGTCTGTTTTCAAGAGCTGATTACAAACCTGTGTTTAATCTTGACTTTTCTCCCCAGGAAAGGCTTTCTGGGAGGGTGAGAAGTGACCAGAGAGGTTTGTGACAGTGGCCACCAGGATGGTGGTGAAGATCCATGATAGAGGGAGGGAGCTGGGGCAGTCACCCTGGAACTGTCTCCCTGGGAGCAGCTGATGCACAGGAGGTGGGAACAGATGGAATGTGCTGCTACAAGGGTGAGTAGCACCACAGCAAGTGACAACCATCTTACTCTGACATAGAGCTGGAAGATAGGACACAAAGAACTGGTGGTAACTGGTTTCTTTCTGTTTCAGGTAAGGCTGTTCCCTGTAAAGGTGCTTACCCTGGCAGGAGCTGTTACCAGGGTTACCTGGGGTGGTGAATCTTAACAAAGAGAGGCCATTTGTTGTGGAGAGAGTGTCAGAAATAGTGACCCTGTAAAAACCACAGAATCGTTTGGGTTGGAAGAGCCCTCTGAGATCATTGAGACCAACAATTGTCCCAGCACTGCCCAGGCCACCACTAAACCATGTCCCGAAGTGCCACATCTTTTAAATCCTTCCAGGGGTGGTGACTCCACCACTGCTTTGAGCAGCCTGTGCCAGAGCTTGACCACCCTGTCAGGGAAGAAATTTTCCCTGTTATCCAACCTAAACCTCCCCTGGCACAACTTGAGGCTCTTTCCAGTGCATTTACCATATTGCAACTGTTCCTCCCTTTCTGCAGGACCTAATTATGAGATTCTGTGTGCTGTAAAAGCTTCACATGGTCCATTTGTGAATTAGACTGCTTTTCAGCCTTGGAAATTTTCAGACAGAGGTCAAAGATGGCCTTTTACAGTTACCTCCCATGGCCAACAAGTGGAAGATACTATTTCTGATCACTTACAGCAAACAACAAACTGGCTGGAAAACATCTCTGGAAATACTTGGTGAAATTATTTCCATCACCTCCTAATTTATATACTTATGAAGAATGTTCCTTTGCTTTCTTCTTCAAGCATTCAGTATTTAAAGGGAATAATATTCAGGCAGCTGCAACTTGTGATTCTCTTTCGATCAGTTAGGAAGGTTTTGATTACAGTGATAATCACAAGGCAATTTTAATTCTTCAGAGTTATGCAGTGGTTTGTTCTATATACAAAATTATTGCAGATACATGTGCAAACTGGGAAGCAGCCTGTACGAAGAGCCAATTTAAAAATAACCATATGCCATACCTGCCCAGGTGTGTAATGGCCATGAGCTGCTTCCAATGAACGTGTTCACTGGCTTGGAAACTCTGGGATTGTGCTGCAGGGTTCTCTTGGCATTCGTCTTTGATACAGCTATTGCAGCCTGCCATGTTTATGATCTTTTTTTCTCAGTTATGAATTACCTGGTTCAGTCTAGGTCTCAATTTGAAATCCTTGTTTTCACAGGTTTGAATGAGTTCTGAAGGCAATGAGAGAAATTATAGATAATATTAACAATAGAGACATCGCTGACACATTCTGAAGGCTGACACTGTGATACTTCACAGCCTGGGTAATGACACTGTCCTCTGGGATGAAAGATGAGGGTGAAGGAGTAGCAGTTGCAAAAGTAATTTTCTGATTTATTAAAAAAAAAGGACGAAGAAAAAGGGAAAAGGAACACCATTTGTTTCTGGTGGTAGGCAGTGTTTATTTCATAGCCATCTTCTATAGTTCCTCTCTGTCAGCACCACAGGGCCTCAGTAATTAATTCTGCTCCCTTTGATGCTGTGGACATGACATCACTGTTGGTCT